TGTTCTTATGAAGAGCAGCTTGAAAGATGTGATAACAGCAATCGATCTTTCCAAGAAAACCTTTAAGAGAATCCACCTCAATTACTTTTGGGCTTTGGGATATAACCTCCTCAGCATCCCAATTGCTGCTGGGGTTCTGTTCCCATTTACTGGTTTTCGCTTACCACCATGGGTTGCTGGGGCTGCAATGGCTGCTTCTTCAGTGAGTGTTGTTTGCAGCTCTCTTTTGCTGAAGAAGTACAGGAAACCAAAGAAGCTTAACACTCTTGATTTACACAGAATTATTGTTGAGTAATTCTTGGTTGCTAACATAGTAGCAAGCCCAACTCTTTAGATTTTTGGCCAATGGGAGAAAAAAGATAGAGCCAGTGGATTATTTTCTGTTAAGTCATGTTCTTTTTGTATTATGTTCAACAAGAAAAAACTGGGAAAGCAAATAAAGGACACTTGAAACAACTGGTTGGGCTCTTTTAAGAACCCCTTATATCACTATAAGAAGTCATAATCTTGAATGCAATTCCAAACTCATACATCTGCTACAGTAAAGTAATATAAAATATTTTTATTGACAAGAGTCGGGTCTCTCAATACTATTTTCTGGACCCACAATTCCGTTATGATCCTTCTCCATAGGAAACAACGAAGATGTGCCAGAGAGGCGCTAGAAATAGTTCACTTGCAAGTGACATTCTTAGATAAAGTTCAAAATTCATTACATTTGATACAGTGAAGAAATAACAGATGTATAGCCAAGACTAAGGGACTCTCAGCTTGTGTGATTACATATTTTGTGGACTATGATTATCACATTGTACAGTTATTTTATAAGTACAAATACATAAAGAAAATGAATCAGGAAAGCTTGGATCAGAATTCTCCTTCCTGTGTGAGCTTTCACATACACAATGTTTAGGAAATAGTTATCCCATTATCTGCCATGCTGCACGGTGATGCTGCAAGCACAATGCAGCGCCTGGCTCCTAATTGCTGTCTCACATCTTCGAATGCAAGTCAAGTTTTCTGCTCGATTGAGGAATGCTACTTCCCACAGCATCTCTTTGCTTTTGGAACTTCTCTTTAGCTTTGAAAAGGATTAAATGTACCTCTCCAAAATGAGGCTCCATGGCATTCTTTGTGTCATCAATCCACTTCAAAACTCTCTTGTATGGGCCTATTATCCGCTTATGATCCTTCTCATCCAAAACCTAAACTCAGCAGAAATAAAAGATTCTACAAAATGTGAGAACAAGTACTTTCTCCAAGTCCACTCGAGTTGATAGATTTTCATCCTAAGAACCACAACCTAGAGAAAATCATCATGATGTCATCAGCTATACTAGTAAAGACCATTCAGAAGCATCTATAAGGCACTTCATTATATAAAATGATTTTGCGTTCAAATGAAAACGACTGGCTGACTGAAACTACTCATAGAGGAAGTGAGAGAACAAGTAGAGAACCAAGGAAAGGATGAGCGGAGGAAAAAATTGGTGGCCATGACCAGTATCTATAAGACTATAACCCTTTAACCCCAATCTAAAGAAAATAGAATTATTATTACCTCTTTGTTTTTTTAGAATACAGCCTTAAAAGGGTAACACTCATACCACCATGTGCATTATTATTGAATTTAAATGGAAGTTTGTATAAGCTGATGGAGGGGAAAGCAACAGTTAACACAGTTCTGAATGTCAATAACTACATTTTGAGAAAAAACAATTAAGTCATGGTTTTACATGTACGCATCATTTTCCTCCAGGGGCAAGTTCCGACATGATAGTTTATTGAAAATATCTACTTATAGAGAGCTCAAATAACATCCTAAACTCCTCTTGATAATTTATTCTTTGGATCAACAGATGTAAAGCAACAGCAGGAAAAGGGAAAACCTCTATACCTCAAGTTGCATAATCTCACAAACTAAGCTAAGATCTGCAATTGAAGGTTGGCCACTCCCAAGCAAAAACCGTCCTTTTTTCTGGAGCCAAACAGACTCGATCTTTGCAAGAGATGCTAAAAGGACTTTCTCAGCTTCTGCTGCTGCTTGTTGATTGAAAGGCAACCCAAATGCAGGAGCAAGAACAGTACTAAAGACATATACAGCTGAAAACATAAGCACTGCTTCAGAAAACTGTTGGAAACAGCTAAAAGAGTGGCATATCAACAAGTAGTAATCACAAAACGTTGGGAAAAGACTACTTAATCATAGTGTTTTAGTCATCTCCATTGTTGAATACAAAAGTCACCACGATTAAGTGGATAGACTCACAATTAGAGGTTTGAGAAAGGTAAATTGTTTCAATCACAAGAAACTACTATTAAGATAGTCCAAGAAAATTGCAGGCTTGCAGCAACTGTCCAACATTAGGTTAGTAGCAAGAATCTTGGTAAAGAGCACTATAACAAGCCAGTTGTTCTTCTTTCAAAGTGATCATACAAACAAATTTCCCCGATTAATCTCATTTTGGCTCGAGAAAACCAGCCTCCCCGTTAAATTAGCTCATGTAAGGCTAAGGCAAAGAAAAAAATTTCCAACTGGAAACTAAAATAATCTCAATCTCTGATATAAGCACCTGCACCACGACGCAAGTTAGAGTGATGCCAATCCAACACAGAGTCGACCTTTGCTCTTTTGTATAAGTCAGATGGGTACCTTCAATAGGACGGAGTAAGACACAAGAGTTAATAGCAGCTAAACCCAGCATTTTTTATATGGAACTTAGATATATATGAGAAAAATCACTAAATTTTTAATAACTATTGAATTATGAATCCATAACTTTAAAAGTGCAATGGGTCCAGCGATGAGAACATAAAAATTGAAACTACCAAGTTTAAACCGTGGACCTGCTCGGGTCATGTTCCATGTCAAGAAGAAGAAGAGCTCTAAAGGGTACTCATTTCCATGATAAAAAATATTTGATTCAGGTATAAGCGGAAAACCTGAAGTTGCTGCACTTACCAATGATCTGCAACTCCTGGAAATGCACAAGCCAGGTATCTAAGAATTGCATGACTGCAAGCAGACAAAATTAGTTAGCTAGCTTTTAAACGTATCCAACATAAAAGATTATTTAAATAGTCCGGTCTCCACAGTAGTTACTTGTGCCCGCACTGTACTAGCACACTACACATCAATCTTTATAAAAACGTTCTAAACTTAGCAAAAGTTTTCCTTCTTCTTGTAGTATATATGCATAGGTGAACACATCAAACTATGAACTTCTACATGAATAAATCACTAAATATTAAGCTTTAAGATGCATGCAACACATAGAATGAAAAATAATCATTGACAAAGTTGTAATATTGGAAAATGCAAAAAATTTCAGCTCAAGGTGAAAATTACCTTTCAAAAAGCTTAAATCTTCCATCCATTATAGCTGGTACTTGCTTCATGGGGTTAACTTCTGAAGATGAATTCACAGGAAACTATTGAAATTATCTTGAAATTAAGTAATAAATAATAATTCAGAAACATTTTTTTAGGAAAAAGTAGAGTTAATAAAATGACAAACCTTTAAATTCAGGAGACAAGTGCTGGCGTTTGGAGAGGTTTATGTAGACCTCCTCAAAGTCTATCCCATTTAACCTTTTGAAAAAACTAATCATTAGAAACTCCATTTTCAGCTTCATAACTAGAAACGAGAATCAAGGTTTCCCCCAAAAAATAATACAAGCAAAAATAAAATATTATCATTAACAACCACATTATAAGCTTTGAAGCTAGAAAAAAGAATTATGGGAATTCAAAGAAAACAAAAAAAATTTCTCACCACTTAACTCTCTAGTAATCATTAAAAAACTCAATTTTGAGCTTTGAAATTAGAAACATAATTAAGAGTATTCAAGGAAAATTAATAATAAAAACCTCCATCTTGAGATTCAAAAATACTTACAGAACTAAGGGTGTTAAAAAATCTATAGTATTTAACTTTTTTTGGAGAATTACTCATTAAAACTCCATTTTGAGTTTTGAAATTAGAAACAAAATAAAGATTATTCAAAAAAATAAAAACTTTCTGTCCCTTTTAACCAATTAAAAAAATCTCATTATGAGCTTCAAAACTACATATAAAATTAAGTGTGTTCAGAGAAAAAAAATACTATCCCATCTAACCTGTTGGAAAATTAATAATTAAAACTACATTTTGAGCTTTAAAACTAGATAAAAATGAACGGTATTCAAGAAAAAGAAAGAAAAAATTGAATCATGATTTCAAGGAGAGAAATTATTAAAGAAAAAATACTTACTTGCAGAAGATGAGAAGTGCACGAGAAGGTTGGGACATACGATCTACGTATAATTTCAGCGTCATCTTTTTCAATCTATCTTTTTTTGCTGCCACTGCTAATTTTGCTAAATTTATAGTGTTGAGAAATGGAATTAGCGCCACTGCTAAATTTGATGCGGTTGGCGTTGGTAGCTAAGGTGGGATCCACCTTTACGGGTCAGATAAGGTTGAGGCCCAATATTAATCGGGGGTTGCTAAGCCCATTTATCTTGGGCAACCTTTTGCACTAGCTTAAAAATAGGTAAAAATAGCACCGGCTAGCCAGTTTTCGGACTGGTCATTGAATAATAGCCAATATTTGTAAAGTTATTAAAAAATAGCACTATTTTGCTGTAACATCGAAAGTTCCAGCATAAGATACTTGAGATCGGTGCACCTGTGTATGAAGTTCCAGCATATTATGCTGGAACTCCAACACGCGGAAAGTTCCAGCATAATATACTAGAGATTGGAGCATATGTGTATGAACTTCTAGCATATTATGCTGGACCGGTATATTATACTGGAACTCCAATATATTATGCTGGAAGTCCAATAACTCCAATATAATATGCTGGAGTATTTTTTGAATTTTGAACATTTATTTTTGTTTAAATTTATCTTTAAATAAAAAGTAGCTAAATTACTATAACTTTTAAAATTGTGGCTATTTTACAATGACCACTTGGTTATTTTTTAATCTCCCTAAAAATAGTCCCTAAAAAGCACAAAAGTTATTCTTTGTGTATCCCGCCCTTTGAAAGACTACAATTGATTGGCGCCGGACTCCAACTCCGATAACCGTCGGCGTTTCTAAGCCATTGCCGGTCTATGCCGGAGCAAGTATAACAAAGTATACTTCGTTGGGTTTCAAAAATATTAAGCTTAAGTCTCAGTAACTTTTTGTACTTCCACTTGGCTACTCTATTTTGGCATTTTCCACATAAAACTATTATTCTTGGCTCTTGCTACTGTTGATCTATTTTCCAGATCTCACTCAATTGAGCTACGCCCTTGGTTTTTCATCTTCTGGGTTTAAATTTGCTGAAAATCTTTGCTCAATTAGGTAATTTTCTATTCTATATCTTACTCTTCTTGAGCTTCAATTGTCAAAGATTCTTTTCTTACACTTCTTGTGGTTCAATTTTTAAAGACTCAATCTTTTTTCGCTGGTAGTTGTTTTTCAATTTTATGGGAGCTGATTTTGTTTTTTTATTGTGTAATTGGTATGTTTAATTATGCATTGGTGGTGTTAACTGATCTTTTATGATTGTGCAAAAGTTCATTCTTTGTTTAGTGTTATGTTATCTGTTTCAAGATTGCGATTGTAAAAATTCATTCTTTGTTTAGACTTGTTAAAGAATCTCTAATATTATTATTATTATTATTATTATTATTATTATTATTATTAATTTATATATAAATATCTAACTTAGTTTTCACTTTTATTTTATTTAGTATTATGATAATTTTAGTTGAGAAGGGGAGCCTTGGAACAACATTAAAGTTGTTTCAGTGTGATTTATATATGGTGGGTTCGACCCATGTAATCAGCCATTGGCGCTTGTGTCAGAGTAGGCTACTATCATCACACCCCTTAGGATGCAGCCCTTCCACAGACCCTGCGTGAACACGGGATACTTTGTACTGAGCCGCCCTTTTATAATATAGTTGAGCTTAAATGAAGAAATGAGGACTGGGGATTCATATAGTCGAACCAACTTGGTGAAATGTTATCTATTTCAAGGTTTTGATTGTTAACCAATTAAGATTTTAATTTGTACATTGTACCTCATATGTGCATCTCTATTAGTATGTCTTATTGAACTGTGCTTAGTGATGTTTTTTGGTCAGAAACTTATATATTGTATAGGGATGTATTTATGTTTTAATGAACATTTAGTTTCTGTGAACCCACCTTAACAGATTAATTATTTAGTGTTAAAACGAGACTGGTTCAAATAGAGCACAATGATACAGAGAATTCGTGTAGCTTATCCCGCTAGCTTTCTCTTTTTTGATGACGGTGGTGCCCGGTACAGCTTGCACGTACCTCAATTTTTAAAGATTCATTCTTTTTTTCGTTGGTAGTTGCTTTTCAATTTTATGGGAGCTGATTTTGTTTTTTTATTGTGTAATTGGTATGTTTAATTATGTATTGTTGGTGATAAATGGTCTCTTATGATTATGCAAAAGTTCATTTCTTTGTTTAGTGGAATGTTATATTATATATTTCAGATTGTGATTGTAAAAATTCATTCTTTATTTAGACTTGTTAGGGAACCTCCAATATTATTATTATTATTAATTTATATATAAATATTTAACTTAGTTTTCACTTTTATTTTATTTAGTATTATGACAATATTAGTTCAGAGGGGGAGCCTTGGAACAACATTAAGGTTGTTTCTGTGTGATTTATATATCAAGGGTTCGACATGTGAAATTAGCCACTTGCGCTTGTGTTAGGGTAGTCTGCCTTCATCACACCCCTTAGGGTGTGGTCCTTCCCCAGATTCTACGTGAACGCGGGATGCTTCGTGCACTGAGCTGACCTTTTATAATATGAGCTGAGCTTAAATGAAGAAGTGAGGACTGAGGATTCATATAGTCGGACCAATTTGTTTGGAGTGAGACATAGTTGATGTTGTTGTTGTTTAGTGGGAAGTTATTTGTTTCAAGTAGTGATTGTAAAAATTTGTATTTGTTTAGTGAAATGTTATCTATTTCAAGGTTTTGATGGTTAACCAATACTCATTTGGAACTGGCCAGGGTTAAGATTAATTTGTACATTGTACCTCATAGGAGTATCTCTATTAGTATGTCTTATTGAACTGTGCTTAGTGATGTTTTTCGGTCAGAAACTTATATATTGTATAGGGATGTATTTATGTTTTGGTGAACATTTAGTTTCTGTGAACCCCTAATTAACCTTAACAGATAAATTATTTAGTGGTAAAATGAGACTGGTTCAGACAGAGCACAATGGATACAGAGAATTCATGTAGCTTATCCCACTAGCTTTCTCTTTTTGGGTTGATGGCGGTGCCCGGGCTAGCTTGCACGTACCTCAACTATTCCACCGGGCACCTTCTAGCTCCCACCTGCACAAGGCCTATCCCACTAGTTTGGGATTGAGATCTAGTTGATTATTGATCCTCTTTTTCTTTCTCTTTTCTTTTCTTGGGCGGAGGGGATTATGAGCTCTCTTCTCCCCACCACCATTTTAAAAATTTAAGATAAAGAAGTAAAAGATTTTGGCAATATAGGCTTAGAGTGAACCGTGGTGTTACTTAAAACTAAAGAAATGAGCGAGTATGTGTGTCGTTTTTTTTTTTTTA